GACACCGTCCCCCTGCTGTAACGTGTGTCCCTCTGCCCAGGACCATGTGTTCCGGTTGGACCCCTCCAGGGCGGAGGATGGGAAAGGGAAGAGCCCCTATGATCCCCGGCACCAGGCCGCCTCCGTACTGATCGGTGAGTGTCCGTCGCGGGAAGGGCGTTGCACCCTCGCCACACTCGCTTTCCTAGAAGGAATCTCCTTAAAAAATAACTAACATGAGGCTCACCGTAAAGAACAAGCTCAGGTTTTAAAAAAACATCACCCACTTCTTGTTTTCGTTTGATCACCCATCGGCGCCCTCCTTCACGGTCAGAAGGAGGGGCTGGTAGCTTGTAGCTCCTCCTCGGAAACCTACAGCGCCGGAAATGCCCGACGACTTCATCAGCACTTGCTGTCACTGCCGCCAGGGAAAGGGGGATCCGAAAAATGTTTTGCAAGGCGTTGGGAAAGGGAGCTGCTGAGGTGGCTGTCCTGTGCACCCCTGCACTACGCTTGATTAAAACTGGGGTTCGGGGATGCACCCTGTCAGCTGTCCTGGGCGTGCTAGCAGTGAGGACCCGTGAACCCTTCTGAGCATTTAGCTGCAGAGTCACCCAGTGCAAAGGAAACAAACACTGTGTTCCAGGAAATTAGAACTAGAAGATCCCCTGTCCTGTGGCCAGATGTTGCATCAGAATTCAATTCCAGTGCACGAAGACGTCAGACGGCCTGTGGGAGTCCGTGCGTGTGTGAGCTGCTTTGACAAAGACAGAGTCTGGCATGCCTTCCCTCTTGCATGAGGAGGAGTGTCTGGAAGAACAGAAGGGCTCCAGTAACCCCAGCCGGGGGGCACATTCCCAAGGGGCTGCAGTACATTAACTGCTGCTGTTGCCCTCTGCCTGCAGGGGGGGCTTGTGTGTGGACCGCAAGCGTTCCGGTCAATATACTGTCACAGTCTCCCCGCCGGCTCGTTTTCCTCTGAGGAGCTCAGACCCCAGACCGTAATGTGCTTCAGCGTCTCTCCGAAACGAAGTCCTGCTTTATCAATTCGGCTGAGTGAAACGCATTTGAGCGTAGAGTTTGCTTCAGGCGAGTGGACTCACAGAGCAGTGGGGCTGGATGGGATACAGTGCCTGACCTGCACTTTGAAGGGCTCCTGAGAGACTGTCTGTGCGCTGGAGTTTCTGCACCAGCTGTGTTGGTCAAGGGCAGCCTGGGAGGTGAGCTCTCCCCCTAGTGGTGGAGGATAATAAAGGGATTTTCTTGTGCAGTTTAGCACAACGTCACCTTCTGACTGGAAAACCAAGCAAGTGGGGCAGGGAGAAATAAAGGCGGACAGAGTCGTTGAAAGTGAAGTGTCATGAGCCGGTCTGATCCCCTGCGGCGTGCTGTTCCCTAGGCGACGAGCTGTACTCCGGCGTGGCCACGGACCTCATGGGCCGCGACTTCACCATCTTCCGTAGCATGGGTCAGCGGCCCTCCATCCGTACGGAGCAGCACGACTCGCGCTGGCTCAATGGTGAGAGACCGGGGCAGGGCAGGGGAGGGGTGGGGACGGGTGTGGGCTGTGGGGGCGTGGCCTGGACAAGACACGGGGTGGAGGCGGGGCACAGTGGGGGGCGTGTCTTGATCGGTGGGGCGGAGCTAGGTGGGGGGCGTGGTCAGGAGCCTGGCAGAGGAGTTGAGGTCCCGTCTGTGACGCGCAGCTGCTGGGTTTCCATGGAAACTTTGTCATCTACTGTACGCAGGACACTCAGCCTAGAGAAGGACAAGTCAGCGTCCCTTGAGGGAAGGAAGGGGAAGCTAAAAGATAAATCCGTCAGCACTTTTCTTTCTAGTGTTTCTGTGAGCTTCAAGTCATCTCTGGGCTGTTGTATATCAGAATGTTCCACTCGTACCCTGAAACCCACTGTGTGCCATGTGTGTGACAGAGCCCAAGTTCATCAGTGCCTTCTGGGTGCCCGAGAGCGAGAATCCCGACGATGACAAGGTCTTCTTCTTTTTCCGGGAGACGGCGGTGGAGGGCCAGGGGCTGGGCAAGTCAGCCTACTCCCGGATTGGACAGCTCTGCAGGGTGAGCAGCCAATCGCAGCGCGTTCCCTTTGTGCCCTTCTGCCACGGCTGCCTGAACACCGTCCAGGGTTATTTAAGGACAGCCGCGCACATTACAGCCCTGCTGGACCTCCTGTCCAAACCCGTGCTATTAATTTTCCCTGTACGTATCACATATTAATATCGATTACGTGCTGCTCTCATGCCTCTTGGTGCTATAGAGGTTAGCATGCCTGCTTCCCAAGCAGTCGCCCCAGGTCTGATTCCTGGCCAGCTCATTGTCAGAAGTTTAGAATGAACGGTGATGCACACAGGTGGAAACAACGTGGAAGTGCGTTTAAAACTCTTTACACAAAGGGTGGTGGGAGTGTGGAACACACCCCTCAGCTGTGGTGCTGAAGCTGGAACCTTGGAAACAGCTGCATGAGACCCTCAGATTAATTACTGACTCACTGCCAAACGGGTTGGATGGTGTTTAAAGTTGACAGGCCTGCACTTGTTTTCAGAACGATATGGGCGGCCAGCGCAGCCTGGTCAACAAGTGGACCACCTTCCTGAAGACCAGGCTCATCTGCTCCGTGCCAGGGAGTGATGGCAGCGACACGTTCTTCGATGAGCTGCGTAAGTCCTGTCCCGCGTGGCCTCCCCAGCCGCAGAGGAAGAGTCACAGCTCCTTGTCCAGGTCATGGGGCAGATGGGCAGGAGCTTCTTGTCTGCCTCGTGTCCAGATCACGAGCAATGTTCCCTCTCATTTTAATGGCCCGTGTGCGCACAAATTTCAAGTTGTGCAAATTTGTTTCCATTGACAAAAACTTAAATTGAGTGAATGTGAAATTGTAAACCTGAAATTATTTTTTGTTCGTATAGTCATTCTCGTAGAAGCATAGAGATCCAAAAGACAGAGACAGCGATTCCACGAGCCAGTCCTAGAGACTGAGTGTGGAGCGAGCAGGAGCAGGGAGGTACAAGACTCTGAGAGCAGAGATATCGATGGTCAAGTAGCAATGCTAATGCACACAGCCAAGCTGGGCCTCTTGCAGCCAGCCTCATGTGGTCAATTTAGCATTTTTCAATTCACGACCACGTTTGTTTTATTATTATCATATTTGTTTAATTAAATTTTGTGTGCGCAGTTCAATTTCCTGCGTGCGCTGATTTCATAACCTGTGTGCGCGTGCACACATGCACGGCTTAGAGGGAACATTGGTCACGACGCAGATGGGCTGCAGATCAATCCACTTTTTTTAAAGAAAAGCTAGTGGAAAAACTCTTGAAATATTAACACTAGTTACGATAATACTACTAGCACTGATTCTAAAAATAAAAATAGGACTTAACTTAAATAACGAAGCAAGGCTGCTTCATTATTTAAAGGCAGAGCAGAAAGCGAAGTGTCTTGTGAACTGTTGATGAACTGTGCCACCTGACATCTTCATTCCTCTTGTACCGCAGGGGATGTATTCCTGCTACAGACCAGGGACAGGAAGAACCCTCTGGTCTATGCTGTGTTCTCTACTTCCAGGTCAGAGGGCAAGGGCTGTCTGGGCAGGGGGGGAGCAGGGATCAGCCTGGTTGCTGGTGTGGGAATTGCTGTATTGATCAGGGCCAGATGTGAGACTATGTCCCCACGAACATAGCCACTGCCTGAGAAATAGGCCTCGCTGGTTTTCGCAATGCAGATGACCAGATTTAAACCATGCAAAGTCTTTTTGAACAGCCGGAAAATGCCAGAACTATTTTATTTGGGTGATTCTCGCCCTGTGTTGATCTTCTTTCTTTAAAGAGCACAGAACAGTATGTGGAAAGAGAATGGGAGCCAGCAGGAAGCCCCTACAAACGGGTTATTCCAAGTACTGAATGTGCAAATGTTTACTATGACCTGAGATGACTGCCTCTAAGTCTGTATGTAGTTGGAAAACATGGAGCAAACTCTGCATTTTAGGAAAAAAAGACCTTGGAAGTTAGTGTGTGATTTTTCACATTCTGGGATCTGCATGCTGGCTTCTGAAGGGGTGGTGGGGCAGCGAGGTAGCCATGGTGACGCGGTATCCCTGTGTCTGTGGTCCCCACAGCAGCGTGTTCAAGGGCTCGGCTGTGTGCCTCTACACCATGAACGACATCCGCAGGGCCTTCCTCGGACCCTTCTCGCACAAAGAGGGGCCCAACTACCAGTACGTGCCCTTCCAGGGCAAGGTGCCCTACCCGCGCCCCGGAATGGTGAGTACGTTCTGGGTTCGTGCAGTCAGCCAAACAACCAGTCGGTCAGTCAATTAACCAACCAGTCAATTAACCAATCAGTGAGTCAATAAACCAACCGCCCCACCAATCCCTCAGTCAATCAACCAACCAACCAAACAGCCAATCACTCAATCAGTTAACCAACCGGTCAAAAAATTAACCAACCAAACAACCAACCAGTCAGCCAGTCAATTAACCAACCAGTCAATCAATCAATCAACCAAACAACCAACCAGTCAGTCAACCAAACAACCAATCAGTCAACCTGTCAATTAACCAGTCAGTCAGTCAACCAATCAACCAATATAACATGAAAATAATCAACATAAATGTATGTAAAGTTTTGTAATGTACTGTGCAGAGTGTGTGAAAGTGTTGTCCATTGTTCTGCTCACACACGAGAGAATAGCGTCAATAAGAATCCCAATGTACGTGTGCCCATGGCAAATTAAGGCCTCTCTCTCAACCAATCAAACAATCTGTCACTCAATCAGTTGATCAGTCAGTCTTGTATTTGCTATAGTGCCCTTGCAACAGTCTCCCTCAGAGCTCTCCGGAGAACTATACAGCAGTTGACAGTAGTGTATAGCAGAGGCTGACTCTGTTGGCATGGAGACAAAAAAACACCCCCCTCCATGAGGAAACCTCTGGGGCTCCCAGGCCTGCTGGTTGCCCAGCCCCTTCAGGCAATGGGTTAGTGATACAGTAAGTATGATAAATCACTAGCAGTCTCTGCAGCACCAGGGTTGGGACCCTGTGAAGTGGGCGAGGCTTTCTTGGCCCTGCCATCTTGGGTCCAGCGTTCTGGGCCTGGATGTGACCGTGCAGGAGGACACCCAGTCCCAGAGTTTGATCCCAGCACTAGGGAGCCCCCAGCACCCCTGTTGCAAAGCTCCCCGGCTCCAGTTCAGGGGTGCTACAAATGCAGGAAGGTCTGAAAGGGCAAAAAAAGATCGGGGCTGGGGGTGGGGATCTGCTGTGGTGCAGGGATACATTTGTTCCTGCTGCTGCTCCAGGGTATTTAAGGAAAAAAGCTGGGGGCCCCCAGCTGCAAACGGAGCACCCCAGCTTTTCAGAGACTGAGCTTACCCAGTTCACAGCCCAGCCGGTGTCGAGGGTGAGACTCTCTCCCCCCCTCCCAAAACAGGGGCTCTGACAGAACATCGTCATCAGGAATAGCTTGGCACTTTCTGGAGCATTTTTGGTGTGGTGTTCATTTCTGAAAATTTCGAGGCGTGACATCGGATCTCTGTCCCGCCCCCGCCCCCCCCCCCCTTCCCAAGCGGGGGCTGGGAAGGAAGGCGGAGGGAGCAGGCGGGGAACGGGGAGCGAGGAACGCCCTGACCCAGGACCTCTGCTCTTCCCGCAGTGTCCCAGCAAGACCTATGGGAGCTTCGAGTCCACCAAGGGGTTCCCGGACGACGTCATCCAGTTTGCCCGGCACCACCCGCTCATGTACAACCCCGTGTACCCCCTGAACCGACGCCCCGTCTTCCTGCGCGTCGGCGTGGACTACAGCTTCACGCAGATCGCCGTGGACAGGGTGGCTGCGGCCGACGGGCAGTACGACGTCATGTTCATCGGCACAGGTGCCCCTCTCTCTCTCCCTCTCCTCAGGGAAGCCAGGATATCACCTTCACCATTATGCCTGGTGTTCCACACTCCCACATCTCTTTGTGTAAAAGGTTCTTTGTGTTCCTCCTGCTCTCGGTTTTAACTGCCCTTCCCTTTAGTGCCCACGTGTCTGGCCTTTCCACTTTTGTGGATGCCTTTCTGAATTGTGAATGCTTGAAACAAGTGCTTTCAAAGTCTTCTCTGTTCGAGGCTTGAACGTTCCTGTAGCCCGTCCAAATCCGGCCTTCCTTTAATGCCGGCAACATGGGTATTCTGTCATTTCTGGACTGGTTCCGAATAGCCGAGGTCTTTTTTGTGACTCGGTGAGCGAAACTGTACACAAATGAGGTCTTGCTAGTGCATTGTACAGTAGTCATCAGAGGAGCATTGTTCAGGAAATAATGGGAAAGGGCAGTTAGGGGGCAGGGAGGATTCCGGGAAACTGTAGCCTTTTCTTAATCCAGTACAGATGAATCATATCCACTGTGTCCTAAGAGGCTGAATAACTCCACGAGCTCGGACTCACAGTCAGCTGTGCTGTTGAAGACAGTCTCCTAGCCAATGGCTTGATGGGACTCTTGTCCCCTGAGGGCTCCAGTGACCTCCCGTGCTCGGCCGGGTCCTGCGTTCTTCCTGGTCTCGTGAGTCTGAAGCAGGCCCAGGTGTGAAGCCGGTGTGCTTGTGTGCTCCGCAGACGTGGGGACGGTGCTGAAGGTGATCTCGGTGCCCAAGGAGAGCTGGAAGAACATGGAGGAGCTGCTGCTGGAGGAGCTGCAGGTCTTCCAGGTGAGTGAGAGGCTGGGGCGGAGAGAGAGAGAGAGAGAGAGAGAGAGAGAGAGAGAGACATGCTGCTTGCTCATGGCTCTCGTGCGCGACTGATGGCGCTTTTCAGGGACATTCAGTCCTCTGCACACGCCGATGTTTTGCAAAATGAATGGTTTAAATGATGAATGGCAGTAGATTAGCAAGCGGGCCCCAGGTGTGGCTGTTCCGTCAGGCACTGTGAGCTGTGTGCTTCAGTGTCCCTGTGTGCACAGAGCCCCCAGACTGACCGTGCGTTTCTCTGCAGGACTCCTCGTCCATCATCAACATGCAGATCTCCTCCAAGCGGGTGAGTGTGGCCTCGTCGGCCGAACTCGGCACCATCACGATAAAGAGCAGTGCTCGCAATGCGGCAACCACTTTTCCGAGGACTGAACGTGTTGCCTCGTCAGAAGAAAACCTGACATTTCTTTTTCGACAGTGGATTATGTAGTCTTTTTCAAAAGCCCGGCCCGAGCGCCCGAGAACCGGAGCTCAGTCTTGACGGGGTTTTTGACGTGTGTTTCTTGACGCTCACAGCAACAGCTGTACGTGGGCTCGGAGACGGGGCTGGCGCAGGTACCACTGCACCGCTGCAGTATCTACGGCAAGGCCTGCGCCGAGTGCTGCCTGGCGCGGGACCCCTACTGCGCCTGGGACGGCACCTCCTGCACCCGCTACCTCCCCAACACCAAGCGGTAAGGGGACGTCAGGGCCGGGAACGTGGGAATGCCAATCCCAGAGGGCCACAGCACAGGGGCATCTGTAGACGTAGTGCGCAGCTCCAGCTGTGCAGCACCTCTGCCCAGCTGTTGTTATGGGCCTCTGACTTAGTCTCGGGGGAGGGGATTAAACTATTTCAGTTCGGCAATGAATTAAAGCCGGACGATTCTGTGTCCCCGACTTAGGGCTCCGACCAAGACGATCTCTGTAAATTGTCGTCACATTAAAGATCCTTGGAGAGGGTTAAGAACTTGCTGGCGGGCATTTAAGAAGGTGTGGGCCCCCAGTGGCAAACAGAGCACCCCAGTTTGTCAGACACTGCGCTTATCCAGTTCACAGCCCCACCACTGTCAGGGGAGAGACTCTCCTTCTCACAAAACAGGGACTCTCGTTCTCCAGAACCTCTTCATCAAGAATAGCTTCGCACAGATGATTGGTGGGGTGCAACATTTTTTGCTGTTATTTCCTGAAGCTTTAATTGCATGTTTGTTGCTGATGTACAGGGAAAGAAATGATTATTTACTGCACGGTTCTCACTGAATGTCTTCAGTGATTAACTCGTCCTTTTCTGTGAGGCACGATGACACTGTTACACAACACGCTGTTGCCCTCTGTGGTTTATGATCGCTGCGACAGGTTTATTTCTGCTGCTTGTAACCACCTGGCTGTGTTGTCTGTCCCCCAGGCGTTTCAGGCGTCAGGACGTGAGGAACGGGGACCCCAACACTCTCTGCTCTGGAGGTAGGAGCACAGCTGCTCTCTCAGTGCAGCCTCTCCATCAGAGTCAAGAGAGGCAGTTCAGTGGCCCTGCAGACACTACAGCTCGGGCACATCTGTAGAAATAATGATGATAATAATAACATCTTTTATTTATCAAACACCTTTCCAAACCCAAGGACGCTGTAAATTCTGATAAAGAAAAAGACAGTAAAAGTACAATAGAAAGTAAAAGAAAGAAATAAAAATATACAGGGCAGGATGTAGTTTTGGGCCAGTAAGAAGGTCGGGTTTGAAGAGAGCCAGAGGCTTCGTCTCCTGGAGAGTCGGAGGAAGGGTATTCCGTGACAAATGAGCAGCGACAGAAAAGGCACGGTGACTCACGAATCCGTTCCCCCCTGTCCTGGGCTGCACGCGCCATCAGGTCAGCCCTGCACGGCAATGATGTCGTCGTCTCAGCAGGCATTAGATCATTCGCCAGGAGGTCAGTGGGATCGCTTCCCTCCCCGAGAGTCATGATGATGTCATCGGCCCCCCAACAACGGTCCTTGTGGGAGCTGAGGCTTCCTGAAAGCCAACGGGGGAGGGGGATTGGGGGGTTCCCGAGGGGCTTGAGGTGTCGGGCAAAACGCTGGCGCAGGGGGGAGGGTGCTGGCCGCGGGCGCAGTTCTCACCGGGCTTGCGCACCACTGCAGTTGCAGACCTGACAGAACCGGGCTCTGGGCCTGGCGGGGTTACCCGCCGTCCGGGGGGGGGGCGGGGAGAGCTGCGCCCATCACACAGCGTTGGAGGTCACACGGCCCGCTGACCCCGGGTCTGAGGGAATCCCTCTGTCTCCCCGCACAGACCACCACAAGCAGCGCGTGGCCCAACGGAAGCTGTACGGGGTGGAGGGCAGCAGCACGTTCCTGGAGTGCATTCCCAAATCCCTGCAGGCCCAGGTCACCTGGACGTTTCAGAGCCGCCCGGACAGCCCGCGAGAGGAGGTGAGTAATCGCCACTGGCTTTGCATGGGCACACTGGGAGAGACACGGGGCACACTGGGAAAGACTCGCGGTACACTGGGAATGACTCAAGAGCACTGGTATTACTGGGGCACGCGGGGAGAGGACAAGGTGGGAGGGGGACTGTCACGCCCTGGATCACCTGAGGCCTGAGATCAGCAGCAGCTCAGAGGTGCTCCGCTGTCTTTCCCGGGGAGAGTCACAGAGTCGGGCTCAAACTGGACAGGTCAGGATCCGCGTTGCTTTGAGACACTTAACCGATTGATCCCTGCAACACCTGCAGGGCTTGGGCTCCTCCAGGGTGAGGGTTATCGGCGATGATCGGAGTGTTTCTAAGCACAGGAGCCGGAGTCTCGGAAACCGCCGTCGCTAACGCAAACGTGTGTGTGTGTGTTTGTGTGTGTGTCGCAGCTGAAGGTCGACGAGCGCGTGCTGCAGACGGATCGCGGCGTGCTGATCCGCAGCGTGATGCGCCGCGACGGGGGCGTGTACCAGTGCCACGCCATGGAGCACGGCTTCACGCAGACCCTGCTGGGCATCACGCTGGAGGTCGTGCCCTCCGACCCCTACGCCCGCCCGGACCCGCGCGGCCACGCCCACGCCCACGGCCACGCCCCTCCCTCCTCCTCCACCTCCAATCAAAAGCTGTGGTACCGGGACTTCCTGCAGCTGGTGGAGCACCCCGACCTGAACGCGGTGGACCAGATCTGCGAGCAGGTGTGGAAGCGCAAGAACCGGCAGCCGGGCAAGCCCGGCCCCGCCAAGCCCCCCCCGCCCCCGCCCTCGGGCGTCCGGACCGGCCCCGGCATCAAGTGGAAGCACCTGCAGGACCTGCACAAGGCCCGGAACCGCCAAGCCCCCCCCGCCCCCGCCCTCGGGTGTCCGGACCGGCCCCGGCATCAAGTGGAAGCACCTGCAGGACCTGCACAAGGCCCGGAACCGCCGGACCCACGAGGGCAAGCCCCCGCTCAGAGCCCCCCGCAGCGCCGGGGAGTGGTGAGGCGGGGGTGTGGGGGGTGGGGGCACGGAGGAAGGCTGCTGCCCCGAGGGACAGAGAGGCCGCGCGGGGGACACTGGGGACACTGGGACAGGGGTGGGCCACTCAGCATCTTGACGTGTGATATTTATGCCTTTACTTCCCTCCTCTTTCCACAAAAGACGCCGGGTAACCTCGCTTCCCTGAACGAGCCCCCCCCCCCGTCCCTGAAGCCCGCTGGCTGCGTGCCCAAGCACAACGCAGAGCGTTCCGGGCCGTTCCTGCCCGAGCTCCGAAACTGGAAACGGACGCACCACGCACGGGCACGCGAGGAACCTCGCGCACACGCACGCAGCATTCGTGCACGCCGCACACGCACTCCCCTGGCATTTATCCCCCACCCCACCCCCCTGGACCGCGGGGTCCGTTCCCGGCTCCGTGACCAGGATGACATCATGGCATTGCCGGGACGAGGAGGCTGGCGATGATGTAATCCGGCGGGGGCCGAGCACACCGAAACTCCTCTGGGACCGGGAGCAAGGGTACGGGCAGCCCGGCACACGAAGAGCCGTTCTTTCACAGGGAGGGGAGCGGAGGGGGGGCCCAGCAGCTGGACCAAAGGCCGACACAAGCTTGTAGACGTCTCGACCTTTCACACACCCACCCACCCGCACGCAGTCTGTGACGAGAAACCTTCTTCAACACGCGCCACTGCTCGTTTTCACCCGTCCCCCGTGAGAAGGGGAGGGCCTCTCTCTGTCACGTGACTTTGAAGGCGTTCTTATTTCTTTTTTAAAAAATCAACGTGGGCCGGGACCGCTGCGTGCCGCCAGGAGGGCGAGAGGGACCCCGTGGTGTGCCCTGCGGAACGCAGAGGAGCACTGTGGGACACGTACCGGCCGTGATCGCAGTCCGGTTTCGTTCGGTTTCTGCTCGGAGCTTCCGGGTTCGTGTCTGTCCGCGCTGGGGGCAGGCGCGGGCCACTGCGTCCAGGGGTTCCAGGCCTGGGTCGGTACCGGTACCGGTACCGGTCCTCCAGTGGCTCCCTCTGCCTGTAACGGTGCCATCGTGTTCTGGAGCCCAGGGCGCATGATCCACGCTCACCTCAATACGGCCATTCTCTTGGGTCCTTCAGGGTTGATTAGATTCGGTACGTAGAGGCAAAACTAAGCATCTAAAAACTGGCACTTATCACACAGTCCTGTACAGAGAGACCCTCCCAGGGCAAGAGGGCAGACAGAGTGAGGTATACATATACTGTACCACACAAAAGGGTACAGACATAGAAGTGGCTGTGTTGAGTTCCACTTTAAGCAATTGACTTTATCCCCACTTCCCCGTCCCACGCAGTCATTTGAACGCTTTGTCATTTTTTCCCTGCCAAGATCACGAAGCTGCAGGCCCCAGTGCAACCCCCCACCTGGTCGTCAGTGGCGTTTGTCCCTTGTGGGGGGGTTAGATTTGGGGTTAGGGGGTTACACCACTGGGAGCTCTCCCGAAGTTTTTGCCCCAAAAAAGGCGTCTCCTGTGACGCGCCGGTCGCTTATGGTTTGTGACGTCAGCGGCCGTCGCGCCGCTCCCCCAATCAGCGCTGACAGCGTGTCAAATGGCGATTGGCGGCAGTGCGGGTGGGCGTGTCTCACCTTGTTGTGACGGCGGTGCATTCAAATTATTAGCAATTCCCAATGCAGTCTGGAGGGGGTATCCGATTAAAAATAATGAGCGGTTCCACCCCCCCAAAAAAAGTATTCATTTTAATTATAACCAATCAACCCTCCGACGACCAATCTTTGGCTTCATGTCGCCGCAGCCCAGAAGTTAAATTAAGAGTGACTGTGACCTTGGAGGTACTAATTCACGTTCGAATAGCTTTATTGGCACGACCGGCAAACGACAGGGTTGCCAGAGCAAGGTGCTAATCGAGCAGAGCTACCCCGATCCAGCGAAGAGGCAGCGACTGAGCTCCAGGAGATTCACGCCCTTGCGATGCTGCTGCAGGTGTGTCGCAGGACGAGTCCGGGCACCGCCGGGGTCTCGACTCGCTTCTGCAGCCAGGCGGACCAGGACGGTTTCAGCTGCCGATGAGAAGCCAAGAGCGAGCAGAACGGGGTCTGATTTTATTTATTTTTTCCTCTCTCTTCCAGATGAGATAGCAGGTTAAATGCTTTTTCTTTTGTCTCCTGTTGTTGTTCTGTATTTAACGCAAGGTTGGAATATGAATTGTTGTTGCTGGTGGTGTTTTTTTTTTATATATTCACCTGCCTGCGCGTCGGGTCGTGTCTTTTTTTTAAACGGTCTCTTGACGAATGTATACGAGATGGAAAAAGTTCTTCGCTATACAGCAAAGAACGAGACGCCCTAAACTATTTAAGTTAAGCATTAAAAGCTTTATTTAAGACAAATTAATAGTATTAATGATAGTAGTAACGAGGGGAGGTACTGTAGGCTGCAGGTAGCTCCTGTGAAAGCCTTCGACTTGCAGCGACACAAGACGCTCGTTTTCACGAAGCATTTTGTCTTTAAGTACAGGAACATAATCGAAAAAGAGATTGCTCTGAACAGTGATCATGGACTTGAGTAGTCCATCTTGAGCACACTGGCATCGATGAAGGGGGGTCCTGGCCGGCTTGGATACGCCTCAAGCCCATGTCATTGATCGCTGGGCGTGTGGGTAGAGCGCCGCCTAGCGCTGTGCGCCAGAACTGACCTGGCCAGTGGCGCTCTGCGTCTGCGCAAACAGTTCGACTGACTGACGAGCTTAAAAACGTGGTTCGACACAGCGGACGCGGTTCGCAGTTCGCAAAGTTCACCCGCGATTTGAAGACATTATCTTGCAGGGGAAAGGCCTTAACGGGAAAGGCCCTACAAAAACGGTCTTCACGGAGTCTTGTTCGCTGCAGTCTGTAAGGGCTGACCGAGCGTGTGTATATATTGCTAGGAAGACAGGTTCGGCTCATCTTGGCCCAGGCTGAGAACCGGAGCTGGCTGTCTAAAAAGGTCAAAGGCCAAAGTTCGTGTGGGGCACTGTAACTCCCAAGTTCACTCGGGAGGAGTCCTGTGTCAGATGAGATGTATTTAATTAACACAATAAAAATCAATTTGCTTAACGGCTGTGCTGTGGTTTTGGGGAGTGGGGGTGGTGGAGTGTGTGTTCTCCTTGGTGTATGTGTAGGGTGGAAGGGACAGTCGCCCCAGCTGCAGTTTTACAAAGAAAGGTAAAACAAAAACAAACACCTCATTTATCTTCAGCGTGAATGAGCCATGTTGTTGAAGCCAATAACCCTGGTTATTCTTTAGATACAGATGGATTTGGTCCTCCAGTCAAGACAGGAGACAGCACTGTACACAAAGGGTGGTGGGGGTGTGGAACAAGCTGCCCAACCAAAAGCCCAAAAGCTGATAACCCTGACTTCTTTAAGTTAGGAAATGGCTGGATGAGATCCTGGGATCAATTAACTGCCAATTACCGGATGCGATATGTCTGACGAACTAAAAAGTGTCGCTCACTGAGGTCAGAGAAATCAGGAGCAGAGTGGGAGAAAAAGGGAATATTCTAGAAATCTATTTAAGTGGAGGTCAGTCTGCACTTTACAAATAAATGACTGAAGATTAAGTTTTTTATATTGGATTAAACGGTTAAAATTGTTTCAGGAAGTTTCAGACAAAAGTCCTTCTTCAGCTGGTTTGGAAGAAGTCTAACCAGGGTGCAGTGAATGTGTTAAACATTCTGTGTATCTGTACTGTATATAGTCGTGAGACATTATCCCAACCATTGTGAAAGGCCAATTACTCAGATCCTGAAATGCACACAGACAGCTTTCTCACACTGTGAGATGAAGGGAGAAGCATTTGAACCTCCTGGTGGAACTGGAAGGTAAGAGATTAATGACTTTGCCTTTTCTTTAATGACAAAAAAAAAGGCAGATTTGGCTTCTTTTTGTCCAGGAACAATCTTCAAAATTGTGTTTGTTTCAAACCTAAATTACTGCTTGTTTAGAACCTTTGCAATTTTTTTCTGTTTTAAATTTGGGGAACAAGAAGTCCCTGGTGTCCTGGCCAAATTTCCCCCTGGCCTTTACCAGTCATGGCCTCCTAATAACCCCCCTCTCTGAACTGGCTCCATCACTCTGCTCTCCTCCCCACTGAGAGCTGGTGTGTGGGGGGCGGACTGGAGCATCGTCCAGGTGGGGCTGCACACTGGTGGGGGTGGAGGGGATCCCCATGACCTGGAGAGTAATCTGTTGCCATGTGTACACGTACATTGGAATTCTTAAACACGCTGGTCTCTCAGGACACACACAGTGTAGACAGCACACAAACATCATAAATGATAACAACAGGAACCAGCAATATGTAGTAGTGAGAAAAAAAAAAACATGGTAGACCGTGCACAAAGTGCTGTAAAGTGTAAGGGATTATTCTTATTCAGTGACGTAGCTCAGAAGAGGTCCCTAGGACCAGGGTTTTAAAGCTCTAGGCCCCAGTCACCCCAGGCTGGTGCGACTGGTTTGAGGTCAGTGTGATAGCTTTGTTTGCCCACAAGGGGGCCTCAGTGTAACTCGTGAGCATTTTGAGTTTCAATAGTGTTGAGGCATCAGGGCAAACTTTTGACTTAGTTTAACCCTGTATAATACCACCCATCACATTTTTGACATGCATTTTCTCCAACTGCCAGAAATATGAAGCTTTTTTCACTGTGGCAAGGACAGGGTATTTTCTGTATGAGCAAGGGAACCACAGCAGATACGGTTTTGAGTTATCTGCTGATGCAATGCCTTAACATTCCCCTTTGAACTTTGTTTTCCGTACGTACTATCTGCAGAGCTGTCATGTCTAGAAAAAAAAATGAAGTCCTTAACAAATTGATTTAATACTTTCGAAAACCACGAGCATCCGAAAACAGCTGTTAAAAACCCAGTTTCCCTGCAGGACTTTGGTAAGGTGCTGGAATCTGGATGCGTTTACGGTTATTAATCTTGCACTCCTGCAGCGCTGACCCTAGCAAAGGCTGGCCTGGGCCAGACAGGTGCATTATTAACTTCACCTGCACCCGAGTCATGGCTGCAAATACACATGGAGCCCTGAACTGACCTCTGCTCGCAGCACGTCTTG